AGCGGCCGCCCCGTAGGCTCGCTGAACCTGCGCCGAGCGCTCCCCCACCCCTTTCCAACCTCCAGGCGGACGCCAGGAAATGCGTCACAGAAACGCGCCGCGGCCAGCCCTGCTTCCGGCGGGAATGCCTGCTCAAGCCCCTACGCGGAGGTGGCGGGCTCCGCGCGTGCCGCAGTCCGCCAAGATCCCGGGGGGCGCTCGGGGTGTGGCTGGGCCAGACCCGGCTGAGGAATCCACGCTGGTGGGAGGCACCTGGCGCGGGGCGGTGACGTGAGGGGATTGGGACTAGGGGAGGCGCATCCCCGTAGTCCTACAGACCTAGGAAACCAGTAAGGCACGGTGTCAAGTCCAGGAACTTAAAGCACTTTGGAAGTAACCACAGAAAAGAATTTGAAAAGCGCTCCATTCTTTCCAACAGTTACCATTTTTTAAAGTGCTGGAAAAGGTAGGTGAGTAGTAGTCTGGTTCACGTGGGAGGACAGTGCCATCCAAAGGGAAGCTTAGGTAGGGGTAAGAAGACTCTGGGCCACGGGCACGCGGGGGTGGAGGTGGCTGCGGAGTGGGGGCCTCGGGGCGGAGACCAGGAGGAACTTGGTTTGCACCACAGCTAGGGGGAAGCTGCAGGCATTAGATTTAAGGCTTGCCCAGTGTATGCTGTTTGACCCTTAGAGTTGATTAGGTTCAAAATCGTAGGCTAAAGGTTAATGCTAGGAAACCTGTGCCTTGCACTGAGAGGGGTTGAGTGACTACCAGGTATTTCAAGCAGGAAAAACGCAGGTAGCTCGTTCTTAAGGTGGGCCCCACAGGTTAAACATGCCTGGACACACACAAACCTCCAGTCTGGAAAGGCCTAGGGTTTGGCAGTAGTCATCAATGCTGGAGGTTGGGGAGGGGGACGTCTCCACAGCCTGTGCCTATTCTTTGGTCTGCCCTAAATGAAATGTTTACTTAGTAATTCTGGCATCTTCCTTTTGGCTTGCTAACCCTAGACCTCTATTGGATGGTTTCCTGGGAGTGAAAGTTCTAGGCCGCTTCCCTATTTACTGTGCTCATTATGTGTAAAAGCACCCCCTTGCCAGAGACATAGAGGACCACCGAACTTAGGTGTTAGGTTTACCTTAAGCTCATTTCAAAGGATTCTCCAGCATACCAATGAAGATAGACTGTTTGCATCTTTAAAATGTCCCTAGCAGCAAAAAAGGCAATTTACAGACAAAATATATAGGACATGAAGGTGGGGTGTTTTTGTTTTTCCAGTGCTCCTGAATGCTGTGATATTTTGTAGGAAACACCCCCAGGGACATTGGAGAAAGGGAGAAACAGGATTAAGTAGTTTCTCCCAAGGTGACTAGATGTGGCAGTTCTTAAGTGGAAGCAACCCGGAGAGTATTAAGTTTGGCGTTTTTCTGTTCAAGTGGAGATTCTAGACAATTCTCTATGAACTAAACTAATAATTAGAGCTATAAAACCAGCTTTAGCTCTAGTAAATTTATCCCTGTTTCTTGGTTTCTTTGTAAGTAAATTAAATGGCACCCTCATCACACCAAGCTATTTGAAACCCACTTAAAGTAAATTTCCTAAGGACTAAAATCGTAAAACTGAAACCATCCAACCTCTACTCATGAATTAACCTTAAAATAAACTTCAATAATTTCACACAGTGATAAATGCAACATACAAACTTTATTTAACAAAAATAACAGGTAAAGTCAAACAGGCACTTATATTAAGAGGAAAAGTAACTAGAAGAAATTTTACCTTAAACACCTTACAGTAACCTACTTGCAGTTGCATTTAACTGAGCTCTGTTGCTGTGAAGAATACAGCTCATGCACAGGTTTGGATGAATGATTTGTACATTTTTCAAGTATTCACTGAATACTACCTTATATACACATATACATTAAATTTGAAAAAGATTTAATTGACGATCCCCAGATATACTTCATTTTTGTTGATCTTTTGGAAGAGGTCGTCTAAAGAGAAGAATATGTGGTTCTGTGAAAAGAAAATGTTTTAAACCATTTTAATATAACATCGTTAATTTTCACTCAAACAAAATTCAAAGAATTCTCAACTGAACCAAAATTGTAACAAATCCATGGTCAATTAAAGTTACGTATTGAGGTATCTGAAATGAATTTTACTTCAAAGTCACTGTCCACAGTAAACAGAAGAAAACCTGACAATGAGAGTATTTCCCCACTATTTTAGTTTTACCACCCTGGAGAAAAGGGATGGTAAATAGAGACATTCCTTTGGGGAGAATGGTTTCTACCTTTAGAACCTCAATTCCAGTGAAAAATAAAGAGACAAGTTATCTCTTGGGGCAAAGACACCTAATACACACCTCATTCAAAACCACCAGCTTATAAATCTGCAGGTCCCAAGGATCCACTGGGGGGGGGCAGAGGCAGGAATCTACAATTAAGTTCAACTGCTTTTGTATTACCTGGAGAATCATCTCTTGAACTCTAACATGATTACATGTGTAAATCCCAAGACAGTTGCCAGTCTTAAAAAGTTTTTGATGCTGCTTTTCTTTAACACAAGTGGAAAGCAAAATAGCTTTAGTTCCACCTAATGCAGCTTCTGCCGTACACCTTCAAATTTTGTTCAAAGCATTATAAATCCTTGAAGTTAGATTTATTGATTACCCGTAAGTAGAATTTAACCCCAGAGTTTTAGTTTAGTTTACTGTTTAGTATCTAGAAAACTCTGGTAAATACCACTTAACATAAGCACTCATAATGCACAACACATTAAGGCAGCACATTTGAGTTCAGTGGCTGTTATCTCATTTAATCTTAAATGTGGCTGACACCAATTAACCTTTAAGAGAAGGCTAAAGGAAAAGACAAAGCACTTTAAATACACTGCATACATTTCTATACATAAAACTTAAGTTGTCTTAAAGTTCTTCGTTTTCAAAGAAGGGATACCATAATTCTAAATATATTTATGGTAAAATACTTTTAAGATATTATTAACAATGACAAATTGAAAAATAGAACAGGCTATTTTTTTGACTCGATATTTTTTTGCATGGGAGAAAAATGCATTGGTTTTACTTGTGTGGTATTTTACTTACTATAAAATTGGAACCCTCTCTAGGGAGGAAAAGAAATTCAAAAATAGTGAAACTTATCAGTTACTTTAGGATATCTCTGAATGTCAGTATTACTTTAAAAAAAACTCAACACACCTGCTACTATTTTAATTCAGTTAATGCTTTCCCAAATAGCAAAACTTACCTGGCTCATGAATCATGTAATGAACCCAGCCTAGACTCTGTTGGACACCAAGTCTCCTCCACTCCTCTTCTGACATCAGATGGGTTTTGGGTACTTGTTTGGAAAGTTCTCTGGGTAACATGACATGCCTGTGAAAGACATAACCAACTATTAGTGTTCTGTGTGTAAATATGCGTTTTCTAGTTATCTTTACACATGCATCTTTAAGATACTTAAAATTTGTGGGTTTTTTTGTCCTCAAAGTTCTTTAAAGCAATTGCCATATTACATGAATTGGTGTCTCTTTTGAGTACAATCTCCGCTACCTTTAATTCTGATTTTCAATGGCCTATGTTCAAATTAGGGAGGTAAAAATATGCAATCCAAACCCAGAAAGCATTTTATTTAGGATTAATTGTTTTCCTAACAGAGGTTTTGCTAGTTGTCTGAATGTTCTTCAGGAATAGGACCCCCAAAACTAAGTTGGACACACAATTATCCAAAAAGCACCCAGACTTCCCTGCAGCTACCTTTGATCATGTGACTAAAACCTAGGCAATAGTACATAAGCAGAAAATAGGTAATTTATGGAAAGTGTCCTCAAAAGTAAAGAACATGCCCAATTCTTTTTCTCCTCCTCGTTGATTGGGAAGCAGATTGACCTGATCAGGGAGCTAGATAAGCTAAGACCACAGATGCTGTTGTAAATAGAGGATGGTCCCTGATTGGAGATGTCACCTGAGCCTCATGTAGCCTTTTATATAAAGAGAAAAATCTCATTTGTTAACAATTAATTTAGGTTCCCTATTACTGAACATTGTAGATTTGTAGTAGATACAAATCCTTGTATACTCCCGAAGTTGCTTTATATTTTGTTCAGAATCAAAAGCAAAAAAGCCGCTAATAACACATATACATGTATCTGCAACCTTCGGTTTTCCAGTAAGTTACTGACCTATACACAAAACTTGTTTTTGTTGTATTTTTTTGAAGGCATTCAATATTCTTCAATGTCAAAACACATGAATGCATATAATTATAGCTTTGTTAAATTCTTAAACATTAATCTGTCACCCCCCTTCTCATTTAATTACAAAAGAAAGATCTTTATAAAAATCACAGTTCCCAGCCCCATTCTACCATTTCCAGTTAGGAGTATTAGTTTTATAGTGATCCATAACCACCAACCAAATTTTTTGACCAGTATAGGATTTCTGTACCTGTGAATCACTGGCTGGGGGTGAGAAAGGGACAATCTGGTTACTTCCTGGCACTCAGGAAAAGTGAACCAACAACCCATCATAAGACTAATCTGTCATCAACCTAGTCTGTGGCTGGTTAGTTAAGTACCAATTTCATATTATTTGCAGAATGAAGGTGACCCGTAGAACAATTCTACTATGTTGCTAGATTGCCATGAGGCCAAGTCAAATTATGCTTACTATCATACTTGGTTAAAATTTCACGAACGCCCGTGAACTACATGGTGATTCTTAATACTTACCAGCTACCTCATTCATTCTTGAAATGCTGCTCTAACATCTACTTTAAGGTTCTACAAATAACCTGTTACCTCATTTTACATATTGATGAGTCTCAAAGAGAAATGTAGTGCTAACTAGATTTGTACTCTTACTAAGTATGCCTGCATAAATGTACCAACATGTTATTTAGATAGAAGTCACAACCCCTACCTTTTCCAGAAACTATGTAAATAGGTTCACACATCAAGGTGTTTGATATAAAGGAAAATTTATTAAGTAGCCTCAAGCTCACAAGGAAATTCCACTGCATGGAGATAGTCTTCTAACTATGTGTAAGAAAAATTATTTCCAAAACTCAATGTTTACTTCAGTACTATGAGCTTCTCATGGAGGGGAGGAAGTAAAAACAATTATAAGCAACAAAGGAGCTACAAGATGCAATTAGCAGTTGTGGACAGGATTTAAAAGATACCAATATACAGCATTTATAAATTTAAAGCCATACAATCCTATAATACTCATTCCAGATGTTATTTAACGGAACTAAGTCTTGCAATTCATTTATAAAAGAACCTAAGCTTAAGTAAAAGGAATAGGAAATTAAATTTGCATTTACAAAGATACAGATAATTGCATACTGGCAAAAATAAACACTTCTGAAATTCACATTGCATGCTGCACCACTATATACAAACCTTCCTAGAATCTCACCTCTGATTTTTTTTTATGAATTATTGATTTGACTTTAGAAGTATCTCTGAAGATTAATCACTGTTCTGTTCCTATAAAGGCAAGTGGCTTAAGAAAGACAATCATCTTTAATTAATAATGGTTTAGAAAAGATCACTTTAAATATGACAGGATTTTCTTCTATACACTAACACACACAAACCACTAAGTAAATTCGGCTAAAATTTAGCACAGTCTAGTTACTTAGTGCTCATCAGTGACTGTTGGTTTATTGAAATTAAAAAATGAAACTACTGCCAGAAGACCTGAAAGGTGTATTAATTTACTTGGAGCCATGTTTCAGAATTAATTATTTTCCCAGATTTTAGAGAGGTAATATGGTTTACACTCTATCCATTATTTTCTATCCCCAGCTGGGCTCTTGGTCAACACATAACAACATTACGCCATCATATTACAGGATTGGGGCTGTGTAATAATGTAGTTACTGTGTAAAAATAAGATGATCCACTTCAAATTTATATCCAGGGGAAAAAAATTTTCTGGTTGGAATATGAAACAATGCAGGTATTACTAATCTCTAAAACCCTCAGTTTTTCTTCTAAGAATATATATTTCCAAGGAGAAATAGAGAGATGCGCCAAGCACAACGTCCTTCCTTGCTCAAGTGCACTGTTAGACTTGGAAGGGCAGCAGACAAGGTGGCTCCTGGGCCCCCGAACGCGGCTTCCCAGTGACCGCCGGAGGACAGGGCCGAGCGGGCCCGGAAGCCACGCCCCCCGGAAGTCTCCCGCGGACAATAAGACCAACGACTGACCGGCTGCTTCCCTCCCACAATACCGGTTGCTAATTTTACAGATCAGTTTTAGCAACTACGTTCTGGTGCATCACACCAGAACTCAGAAGCCAAAAACTCCTCAAAGTCAAGATTATCTGGCCAGTACACACCAGCAGGAAAAGTGCCCAATGTCCACTCGAGTTCTCAATTTAGTCTTAAAAGGAAACCCCTTTAAATAATGCCCTCGGTCATCATGGTTACCGTACAAAAGTTTACGTAGGTCACCCAATAAACACTTTTAAACCCCAATCAATATGCCAAGTTTTCGGGGGTTCCCCCTCAAGGTCATTTTCAGTATCACTAACTTCAAAAGCTAAAAAAAAAAAAAAAAAGTGTTATGTTAACAAACCAAAATTACCCTTCCACCCTCCAGCCCGCAGTGGCTGGCCGAGGGAAACGGCAGTAAGAACGCCAACTAGCTCCTCAGTCTCGGGGACGGGCACCCAGGGAGGAGTCGCTGCGGCCGCGGGCTTTCGGCCCCGGCCAGCCGNCTTCAAGGCAGCAGCTTAATACCAGACGCGGCCCCAGCCCCATCCCCGCCCCTGCCTCCACCTTCTCACAGACGGAACAAAGAACGGAGACCTGTCCGGTCCTGCACAGGCGAGAGCGAAGCGCTCCGACCCCGACCGGCCCACTCCGAGTCCCGGCGGCCGCCCTCCCCCGACTTCCGGCCCAGCCGGACCCCGGCCGCCCCCCGCTGAGGGAGCCCGCAGGCCCGCCCGCTCACCGGTACTCGTAGTGCTCGTCGAAGTATTTGTCGGAGTAGTAGATCTGCTTGTGGGCCATCCTGCCAGCAGGTGAGCGGCGCGGAGAAGCGACGGCGCGGGCAGAGCGGGCGCAGCGAACCAACCGTCCACGTCCGGCCAAGCAAACGACTCGACTGCGACCAACCGACCGCAAGCAGAACGCTCTCGATTTGAATCCGACAGCCCTCCCCTGATTGGAAGGAGACGCCGGCCAATCACCTTTAGCGCAAAATGCGGTAAGGCGGGGCCGCCTGCCGACCTATCGCGACCACTCCTCCGCGACGTTCACTCCCAAGATCAGCCATTCAGAGGCCTGTTGCGAGGTTGGCAGAGGGAAGAAGTGGGTGATTGGCATGGCGTGAAGGCGGGGAGCTCCCTGACGTCAGGGGAGTGCAATGGCGGGGCGGAGCCGGGGACGTTAGGGGCCGCAGAGCGCGTGCGTAGGGGTTTAGAAGGTTCGAGGTCTGCAGTGCCGTTGGGCGACGGACCTGCGGCGCGGGTGAGATATCGCGGGGTTTGGCGAGGCGGGGCGGGGCTGCTCGCG